ATCGGTGAGTTCCCCCTAAATAAAGAACCCCTCTATTATACTCAATTCCGAGCCAGTGTGGAATTTCACCTTCTTGCCTCCATGAGATATAGCTGTAAGGCATTTTCTTATTTAGTGATATATGGGAGAGGCCCCATCCCATAGAGGGTGATGCCATCCCTGGGACATTTCTCCTGGGTGCTATACTAAAGAAGGCTAAACAAGACATGGAAAACAAACCAGGAAACAGCATCCCTCCATGGCCTCTGCATCAGCTCCTACCTCCAGAATCCTGCCCTGTTTGAGTTCCTGTCCTGACTTCCTTCAGCAATGTGGAAGTATAATTCAAATAAACCCTTTCCTTCCCAATTTGTTTTTTGGTCATGGTGTTTTGTTGGAGTAATAGAAATCCTAACTAAAGCAAACCTGGTTCTGGAGTGTTTACTATTGATTAGGTTTAGGGTTCACTTAAATTTTTGAATCTGTAGGTTTATAACTTCTATAAAATTTATAAAAACTTTCAACCAACCATTATTTTTTTATATAACACTTTCTATATTCAGCAGCTCAGTCTCCACCATGTCCCTGCCCATTTGGGTGTTCTAACTACATCAATATTGGGCCATATGGTGTTATTACACTATACTGAGACTTCATCTACTTTTTCAACAGTGTTTTCATCTCTCTTTCATTTTGGATAGCTTCTGTTTCTGGGTCTTCAAATGGAGTAATCCATTTTCCTGCAATGTCTGGTCTGCCATCAATCCAATTTAATGTGTTTTGCAATATAGACATTGTATTTTTTTCAGATGTTTCTAAATTGAAGTTAGCACATCCAGTCTTCTGCACATATGGGTTTCAATAATGATAACTGTTGTAATGTTCTATCTGCTAATTTTATCATCTGTATTTTTTTATTCATTTTGAATCAACTTTTTCTTAATGGAGTATGTCTTTCGGCCTACTGATTTTTATTGGCTTTCAGTAATTGTGAATTTTACATTTTGGGGTATTGAATTTTTTGGTTATATTATTGTTCTCAAGATTTTTTTCTGTGTTGCTATTATTGAAAATACTATGGTCTTTTTGGGTGTTATGCATGGCATCTGTTAGGAGGAATTAATTTTTATATTATTGTTGTTGTTGTTATTGTTTTGAGACAGGGTCTCAACTAGGTAGCTCTGACTGTCCTTAAACTCACTATACAGTCCAGGCTATCTTCAAACACTCAGAAATTCATGCTTCCTAAAGATGTTTCTGCTTCCTAAAGGCTGGGATTAAAGACGTACTGTTCCAAACCTAGCTAGAGATTCTAGGGATTAATACCTTCTTTCTTTGTACCCTTGTTTAAATAAATTCAGAATTTCATTTCAAATATCCCTAGTGCTGGAGCTAAAGGGTATCCACAAATAAAGATTTTTGTGGTAGGGTCACATATAGACCGCAAATCACCTATTGCATCTGTAGAGGCCAAGCACTAGGACAAATGACCAAATTAAAACTATAATTTATAAAACCACTTTCAAACATTCTCGGTTCACTCAGTTTAAGGATGGGGATGTAGTTCTCTGGAATTCACATTTGCTTAGCACGGCCAAGGCCTTGGGTTCTTTCAATTTCTGGTGCGGCAAAAACAATTACTATAAAAAGAAGGCTACTAATTCCTTCTAATTGAAAGAGGAAGGGAACAGGTTGCTTATGAATCTGCACTGGGAAGCAGAGTTGTATTCTAGTTCCATTTTCTGAGCTCTTGAGTGCTTTAGATTTCAGATAAGTTGCTTTACCTTTTCATAGTTTACTTTCCTTCTTTGTAAAATGGATTGATTGTAATCCCAAATTTAAGGGAGCTATAGACTAAAGGTTCCTGAGCAGTCATAAGAGCCAAAAAACAGGAGTTTGGGGACTTCAAAGGGCCCAGCTGAGTTTGTCAAAAAGGTAAGACAATTCCTGTTTCGAGGGATCCTGTAGCTCCATTATTGAGAATAGCTGGGGGGCATAAATAAGGAAAACCACAATATCATAGATATCTTACATTATAAACAGTAAGGCTTGTCATGATAAAGAAGGTTATTATTTCCTAAGCAAATGAGACAAAACCTCAAAGTTGAAAGGGTGTTGGCCCTCAACCTACTGCAGAACATGTAGAGTTCACTCTTTCATGTAGTTGGATTTCTCGTGATTAACTGCACACCTGGCCTACCTGTGAAGACACTGAGCAGCAGAATCTGTTGTGATTCCCTGTGGATTTGAGCACTGGAGGACACCTGAAGGGAGGATGCTAAGAGGTAGAAATTACCTCCCCTTCCCCCAACACACACACCTCCAGTCCTCCCCTCCTCCCCTCTGGTTATCCAGGGCTGCTGATGGTGGGTAGATATTCTATACCAAAGCATGCTTCCACATTTCAGCAGAGCCCCTGAGGCTAGTTCTGTTTCTGCTGATAGAAAGATGTGTGTCTTTCTAACCACTTCCCTATGAGCTACTACTGCCCTAAGTCAAATCTCTCTTCCCGCTAGAGCAAGTCTTATTGGGGGCGTGGCTTAATAGTATCGATGATGATGGTGATAGCAATAATAATAACTGAAACAATAATAACGGCAATAGCAATACCACTCTCTTCTTTCCCAGTGTCTAAAGGTATCTGATGGAAAGCAAGTTTGAAATTCCCTAAAGTGAAACCAAAGGCAACCACCTGGATGGGGAAATGTGACCAACGGGTAGCCAGAGGAAGTGAGCATCTCAGCCTGAGGTGTAGCCTGCCTTGTTGGGCTGCCCACCATCTGTTCCGCTTCTCCTCTGCACTGCAGTTTCGTTACAAGTGGCAATATCACCCGCCTCTGAGCGCTAATGACCTGTCAAGTCCATTTGTGGTATTATTCTTCCTTATTTTACAAATAAAGAAAATGGAAGTTCTGAGAATTCAGTGAATAAGAGCCAGTATTTAAATTCAGCATGGTCTCTAAAGGAGCTGGCATCCTTTCCCAATGTAGTAGACATGTGACAAGTCATAACTGATATCATTTATTATTCCAAGATGGTATCAATCATAAGTAAAGGCAGATCTAAGATCAAGTCTCCTTCCATGTTCTATTACATGTCATGTCACTATAAAGTTAGAGAAACACACATGCTACTTATGTGACTTGCTCAAGTTTTTAACTCTATATGGAAGAGAGATTCCATCTACACATGTTGCCTTCTCGATATGATAATTACAGAAGGAACACCAGCCTAAGAATTTCTTAGGACCACATAGTTGTTAAAATTGCTGTGTGATCCTCTCGTTCCAATACTTTGCTCATATTTTTAATCTTAATGATAGATAACCATCTATCTGAAAGAAGTCGCTTTGTGAAATAAGCTCAGCTTAAATCGGCACTCTTATGCCTGTCATCCATCTGCCATCAGTGTGCAGCGTTGTGATTTCTGGCGGGACACTTTGTCCCTCTAGGTCTGGAGTTCTTTGTAATTGTTTGGCATGTAGCTGTTTTGATTTGTGGAGCCTTTCTTCTCTCAGGGTCTTGGCATTCGCAGGCATGGATGGTGATGTAAGGGACTGCCCCTGCTCCGAATTAAATTTACCCACCTATGCGGTTGGCTACTCAGAGCTGTACTGTTTCAAACATGGTCATTTGTACCAACTTATGGCAATGTTCCTTACTACTTCATTAAAATCATTACTGGTATGTTTTCTCACTATTTAGTCTACTTTCATTGAGAGGAATTCTATGGAAGTTCTAGAACTTTGGCAAACAAAGCAGGGCCCTCTATGGACCTTCCATTGTCTGTAGATGCAGTTTAAAGGAAGAATTTGAGGACACTTCTGCAGTAATAAATGTAGTACTTTAGGCTTTGAATTTATTTTATGTGTAAAATATACTGAGTCATTATCTAATTGTCATTGATGTAGCTCTCAACAGTATTAAGACTGCAGTAGTTTGACAACCCAGGCTCCGCAGAATGGAGAGAGTGGAGCAGTCATTTGCCAGAGTTGAAAGATTTGATTTGAGGAAGCTGCTTTCTCAACTGAATCCTGTTCTTACTCCCAAGAGCAGAGGGGCTTATTTTATTTAAAGATGCTTAGTACTTCCCAGTTTATGGGAGAGGCCACATATATGTTCTAAACCTCAGGACCATGGGTCAAATTTGTCTTGAAGTTACAATGGGCTGAAGAAATAATGTTTTGTCTCTGTCAGGGGTGACCTTCCAGTATAAGCATTTTTTAGTTGAGTATAGGATCCACGGGCCCTATACTTAGCTGACTGGCCACATTTATTCAAGTTATCTACCCTCTCCCAGAAGGCACGTAGGGAGTCATGCATGTTCTACTGAACACTTTACATCCATTTTACCCTCAGAGTAGATGTTAGCATCTGCTAGCAAATGAACAATGGAAGGTCAAAGAAAACCAGTTCCAAGGCAACCTAACCGCACAGACTGCCTGAGCTCCAAACCCAAGCTTTAATAGATCCCTGTTGTCCAGCATTTTCAGCGCCCCTGCATTCCTTAACCAGATTAATCCTTTCATTTAGCCAGACAGGACGCTGCTCGTTTATCTCCCCGACTCTACAAATGGATTCTCTTCCGGATCCACCGTTTTTTAAGCCTTCGGCAAACTCAGTAGTATTTAATGAAGAAACTCTTTTCTTCAGCTAAGAGAACACGGGGTTGGACACCCATAAAATCTATATTCTCATAGTTGAATAACTGAGTTTAAGGTTCAGAGTCTGAAACCCAGGCATAACAAGCTTCAAAGAAGCCCCTCAGCAGCCATTTGATCCTGTCAATGCTTGCCCACATCACAGTTCCTCCCGAATAAACCAATTCCTAGGTCTTAAACTGTGTCTCCACTCAGAGCCGGCCCTCCGCCCTCAAGCAGGCCTGGCAGGAGCCTTCCGGTTCTCTGAACTCGGTCACGGTCTCCGTCTCCTGGCAACCGCGGACGCGGGAAGCCTCGCGGGCCTAGTGGCGCGAGCGCTCTCAGTGGGCCCGGCTGGCGGCTGCCAGGGTGAGCCTCGGGCATGGCCTCCAAACAAGCTAAAAGAAAAGAAGTGCATCGGATCAATTCTGCGCACGGATCTGACAAATCTAAAGAGTAAGGGACTTCTTCCACCGTGTGCCTTCCCTACCCCTGGACCACTCCCACCCAGTGCTGGGACTGGCTCCAGAGCAAACTACCACACAAGGAATTGATCTGCTTGCCTTGTGTCTGTCTTCCAAGGGACCAGTCTAGGAGAAGCCTGTTCCTTCATCCTCCTTACTCTAGAGCCATTTCCTTTCCAGAGAGGCTGCTTTCCCGTTGGAAATGTTTCCATCTGTGACTCTCCCAGAGGCGCCCCCTATCCTGAGTGTCACAGGCCTCTCAGAAGCTCTGAAAGAGAAGGTTTATCTAGGAAGACTCCAGTTAAAGACCCGCCCACTTTCTCCAGTCCACCTGAAAAGAGGCCCGAGGAGTGGGGAGTGGGGGGCGGGGGGGGGAAGGAAAGAAAGGGAAGAGAGGGAGGAGGAGAGGAAGTGAGAGTTTTATTCTTGCAGTAGCCCAACCTTCCAGACTTTTAATCAGATGCAATTGAATATGCAGTGACTTCAGAAAACTGAAAGAGTAAAGTCTACCGCATGAGCATGAGGTGGCATTCCTAAGCCTACTGGGGAGGTGGTATGTAGGCTGCTGGTTCGTGGGATCTTTTTGTTCTGGGCTGCTGGTGTGTCTTAACTTCCCTATTCATAGTATTTTCCTTTGGTGTTTCCTTCCCTTTGGATATAACCAGATATTCTGTAGTATATATTATTATATTATATTATATTATATTATATTATATTATATTATAATTTGTAAGCCATTCCAGCTTCGAGACACCAAACCCTACTTCAGGGGAATCCTGAATAGTCTTCTCCATGCAGTTCCTGTGGGAGATTGGCAGTACAAGATATATATACTGATTCTTACATACACGCTTGCTTACATACGCTTCCCTATCTAAAATAAACACCTCCTGCGTCTTCTGCTTTCTGGTCCCTCCTGTTTGAACTGTTTTCCTTGTGAACTCATCTCTTGGGCTCAGTCCAGAGTGGAGATTCTATGGTCTTCTACTTCTGTCCTCTTTTATAAACAAATGTCCAGATACCCAGCAGATAACCCATTCATTTCCTTAGTTTCAATTTCAGACCCGATGGTACATACGTAAGTGATCTTTACAGGATCGCACTACTTTTGTGTCCGCGTTGTGAATAGAGCCATTTCAATGTTACCTAATATTCCAGTCTAGAAGTCTAAGACCCATAAGGGCCTGGAGAATCGGGCCCACACGGCCTCTCTGATTTTCACCTTACAGGTTCACTTACCCTCCGACACATTAGAATACCAGCTACCCTGTACTTGTAGGGTCTCTTCAGTTGTTTCCACCCCAGGGTCTCCACACTCTGTCTTTTCCCTCCAGATATCCATTAGGTCCCTCTCCATCTCCCTCACAAGTTATCTACATGTAATTTTTTCTCAGCTTCTTTTTTAGTTGCCTGTTTTAAAATTGTATCCCTACTTCCCTGCCCAAACCAAAGCAAAAACTCAAAATACCCAATACTCCCTGTTTTCCATTCTGCTTTTTCTTCATTGACTTTTTTGCTGCTGTTTTTCTTCATGTTACACATACACAAACACACACAACACACATGCACACACACCTCACAGTTTTTTAACTGATTTTTTTTTCATTTGTCTGCCCAATACTGGATTATTTTAGGTACTTCCTAACATAAGTTCTCTGAAGACAGGGTTTTTGTTTTTTCTGTTTTGTACATTGTCAAATTCTTAGTACCTAGAATGATTCTTAGGTCGTATATAGTAGGTATTAAAAAATGCTTTGTGTGTGTGTGTGTGTGTGTGTGTGTGTGCGTGTATGAAATATATATGAAAAAAGTAATTAGTAGTATAGGTCAGATTCTCAGGTTAAATCACTTTTATTTAGTTCCAGCACTGTGAGTATTCATGAGCTAATTCCTGCAGACTCTGTTCAAGAAGGATGTCTCTGATAGCCACATTGACTCATTGTCCCATGTAGACAGAGAATTGGGTCACTTGGTAAAACTACTTAAACAGACTAAATGAAAAAACAATAGTTGGTGACAGATTTTTACCAGTCTTGAAAAAGGACTTCCCCCAAATAATGATGTTCATATACTCAAACCTATTTAGGAGCTGGGGAAGTCATCAGTATTGAATAGATTATTACAGCCTGAAAGTGAAAAACATGATTTTTTTCTTCTTCTACAAAGCAGCTAGTTTTTATCAGTGTCTGGAGAGAAGACATGTTCTGATAGGTTCTGTGATGGCTGCACCACAAAGGAGGCTCACAGTCCCACTGTAAGACACTGGCTATGCCTTTGCCAGAACTACAATTTCTTTTAGAAAAGATGATGTATTTCACATATGCTTCTTTCTTGCAAAATAACCTGAATTGAAATCCTGCTGGTACAAGTGCATGTTTGATTTAAAAATAGAAGAGAAATGGTAAGTACTTTTATACCATAATATTTCAAACCTAGGTTTTACTACCAGTGATTAAGCATTAAATATCACATCATTATTTTGATGTAGCATTAAATGAGAGAATGTGAAGTGGATGATAAATCAAATCCTTCCTATGAGGTTTTGCCACAGAACCAATGGTGAATGCAAGGCTGACTCACAGATACAGAGCAAAGTGTCACGCAGTCACAAAGCCTTAGGGATCAAAGTCCAGCTACGACTCTGGTGTGGCTGTCTTTTTAGTACCATGGGAGAAAGTTAGAGAACTTGATGTCGTCTCACCACTCCTATGGTTACATAGCTAATAAAATCAATCGACTCTCCCCTAATCCAGGATCAGGAAATGAGAAAACACTTTCAGAACCTTGAAAGCATCCATTTCAGGCACCACCCCCTGAAGTTGGCATCTATGGCATCTGCTTTACCTTAAAATTATGCATCAGTCCCGAGGCAGGGGCCATATCTGGCTTTTGCTTACTAGGGTCACCAGCAACTAATAAGTTTTTACTGTGTGTGTGGTAAATGACCTCTTAGTTTGGTTCCCTACCTCAGTTTTCAGTTCTTCTGGATTTGATTAAAGCCCATTTCTCCTTACATTTCCTAGTTTGATCTTTTGTTGGCATTGTGCAAAATGAGATGTTAAAACTGACCCATCTCACTTTGTGCATTCAGTTAGAGGTTGGTTCTATGGTGTGCACTTTCTCATTCAGACCATATGAAATCTTTTTAGGCTTCACACTGCCAACGGGTCATTTATGATGATGGACAAACATTTTGAATTCAAATGGTTGCTTTTCTTTTTAAGTGAGGTCCATTAAAGTACGATTGCTTTGCCCCTCTATTGTTCTATTAGATTTATTTATTTTAATTTTTTTGGTTTTTTTTGAGACGGGGTTTCACTGTGTAGCTTTGAGATTTTTTTTAACTCCAAAATAAGTATGGGGATATAGTAAAAATACTTAAAGTCTTGACTCATGTGACTTTTCCATTACTGTTTAACATAATGAACATTAGCATAACCTGTAGGAATCATTGTTTCAGTACTTTAGCCAATTCTAAGAAGTCAATAGAATACTTAGTTCAGTAACTGCAGCTACTAGGAGTTGTTTCTAGCAGTTCTGGAGGCTAGAAGTGCAAGACCAAGGGACAGGTATTGCCAAGGCCTGGCTCACAAGGGACCTAGCTCTTTCTGTGCCTTCACTTGGTAGAAAGGATGAGAACAATCCTTTTCCTCTTTGAAAGACACTAGTCCCATCACGAAAGTTTTGCCTTTATGACCTAATAACCTTCCAAAGGTATCACATTCTAAACCCATTCCACTGGTGAGTAGGACTTCAGCATTCCGGGATATGGATAAGGTGTCTTCTGTAACATTATATAGCAGTAATTAGGAATCATAAACACATTTGACTGAGTTGTTTTGATAACTGAATGATACTGCAAAGATTCTTCTACCCAGTACATACTTGTATAAGCATTCATCAGATGAGGGATTTGATCTTCTTGGAAGGACGAACCATAAGGCAAAAAGATACAACCTAAGCATTCGAAGTAATTAGAAGGCTGTAGGGATGGCTCAGTGGGTAAGAATGTATGCTGTGTAAGCACAAAGACACAAGTACGACTCTCAGAGTGTATACGTGCACACACATGTGCACAAACACACACACACACACACACACACACACAAATTAAAGCCTGGATGTGGCATCACAAGCAGCACGGGGCTTGGAATACAGGCAAGCAGTTCCCTGGGGCTTCCTACCCGTCAGCCCAGTTCCCAGTTTGATGTGAGGGTCTCTTTCCATGGAATAAGATAGATGTCACAGAGCAGGATAGCTGATGTCCCCTTCTGGCCTCTGCATGTATACCTTTATACACATGCGGCCCTCAAAGCCATTATTATCATTAATGCACATTTGGACACACTTAAACATTCCAAACTTGACAGAGTAGTCAAGGGGGATGGGATACAATTTGGTATTAGTAGTCACAAAATTTTCTTCTACCTCCAATAGCATATTCAAACTATGATTTAAAACACTGCAAGAAAGTTATTCAAGAAACAAAAATTATAACGCCTTCTAGATTTGTAATGGTGATAACTTGTCATCAAACCTCTCTCAGATTGAGAAATACATAACTCATCTCCATGTTAATTGTGTCCTTATGGCCACAACACCCATTTTAACTTTATAGAATTCTCAGAAAAGGTTAATGTGTCTGTCCATATGTGAAAAATGGGATTATTTTAAAACTTAATTTTAATGGTATTATGAGAGCAATATAAAATAGAATAATACATTTCTTGCTGAGTATTAAATTGAGTTCTTGGTTATCTGAAAGAGAGAAAAAGAAGCTGATTACATGCAGCTGTGCAGCAGTGGGTGGTGGAGTATGTTCCTCTGTTTACAGAGATGGGGACAGTCCCACCCACTGCAGAGAATGAGGCACAGGAGGAGGCTCCTTTATGGCTCCCGGTGAATATCAGCACTCACCATATTCCTAGTTCCATCTGCACAGTCCACACCAAAGTGAAAGGACAGAGGAGCAAAGGTGGAGGAACAAAGGAA